ACTTTGTGTCTGGTATCAGACAGCCTATACATGAAACTTCTTTGTCAATATCTTTTGTAAAGTATGATACATCTCTCAGGAGATGCATCAAAGAGTTTCCTTAATGAATGAACTCACAAGAGTCCTAATAGTGATAAGAATTCTTTGTCTAACCAGAGGACACAATATATTATTAACATATAAGATTATTTCAAGACTAATTATTAGGAATTTTGAAATAGTAAAGTAGTCTTTGTAAACAAGATATCTATATTTTATTTATATGTTTACTGAATGCAAATCGCATAATGTCATAAGTTGGGCCTAATTTTCTCCACTAATCTTTAAAAATCATTATTATACTTTCTGTACTATATTTACATGCCTAAAAATCAGATGAGATGTGAATTAGTCAACTACTGAAACAAGTTGTTTTAGTTTTACATACCTATACTATAAGCTCATATCACCATCCCATTTTCTTCTTAGATACTTTTCTTTTTTTTTTCTTAAAAATTTATCCTAATATCTCTGATTATTTCCACTGTACCGATATTTTTAGAAAGGATATTTTTATTCATTGTTCACATTCCTTAAATATCAGAAAACTTTATCTCTACTTAGGAACACTACTTCACCATTTTCCATCAAGTGAGATACTGTACTGTAAACCTTCCTCATTAATTACTGTCACCTTTTCTTTTCATTGTTTTGAATTTTTGAAACTTTCTTTAATTAGCCTTCTCAAATTTGGATATCTAAAATTAAACATGCTTTTCAGAGAGTATTTTCCTTGTAGCCCTTTCTATATCCTTACAATATTAATCACAGGATTATTGAACTCTTTTAAGGTTTTCATTTTCAATCATATTCCAGTTAAGATAGATTAAAAAAATTTAAATACCATACCTCAAGTACAAGTCTAAAATTTTATATTATCTCAACATGATAAATCTTAGAGTCTGCTAAAACATCAGTAATGTGTATGTTTTTGTGATAATCGGAAAGATATATATATATATATATATATATCTTTATTGATTTCAGAGAGAAGAAGGGAAATGGGAGAGAGAGAGTTGAAATGTCAATGATGAGAGAACTGCCTCCCGTATGCCCCCAACTGGAGGTCTAGCCTACAACCCGGACATGTGCCCTGGCTGGGAATCGAATCATGATGTCCTGGATCCCAGGTTGATGCTCAACCGATGAGCCACGTCCGGCCAGGCAAGAATGTGAAATATTTTTAAGAAAGCTGAGAAATACCTGAACTTTTCTAAAATAAAAAAATATGAATTGCTGAATGAACAAAGGATTACATGTCAGGCCATTGGCCTATTTCAATCCTAGAGAAGTTACTTTTTATTTAGATATTTCCTGAAAGTCTGTCTTAGGGGCAATTGCTTCTGTATATTACCAGGGAACATACACAACTTAAAAGAATTTAAACTTAATTTGTTTTTGTGTACATAAATCTATGTTTGTATAATGTATATATTTGTTAAAAAGCCCAATAGTGGCTTTAACTCTTAATAATATTATAAACAGGAACAAGTATAAAAGTAATTTTCTAGCTAGTAATGAAGACAAAAATTTCTTTTAGCCATCTTCCATAAAATATTGTATCTGTATACATTGTCGCTTTGTTGCTACAAAGCTATTTTTTAATTTTAAGAATTCAAAGATTGAAATGCTGTTAAATATTTGGAAGATGTTGAGAAAGTAGGAAGAACCAAAAATAGCTGAAGCATTTTATTTTTGACAATTTTTTATCACTGTGTTGTTTTTTTCTTTAAATGTCTTCTTTTGAAGGGGCGTGGTATTCATTTTGCTAAGTAGTCACTATTATGATAATCAAAATGACTGAAGAACAGAGACTGAGAAATTTAAAAAAATAATTTTTATAAAACTCTGAAGATAAACTACAAAACCCCAAAATAGCATTTACTAGACCATGAGCCAATTATTTAGATAGAAAGAAACTGCCTTTCCTTTGATTCACTCAATTTCATATATGATTGTGGACCTACATGAGAAAGTAAAGTGGCCCTTAGTGAAATAGAAGTCTTATTTGTTTGGTCCTCACTTTCCTCAAAGTTAATAAGTAGTTGTATTGATCAGCATGAAAATAGATTCTGATTATGTAACCAAAAGAATGAGGAAATATGAAGAACAATTCATAGGGAATACTTTAGTTGGGGATCACAATTTTGTAAGAATAAGAGTTAATGCTCAAGTGCCACTACCTAATTAAGCACTGTGTTAAGTATTTTCTGTGTATTAACTCATGTAATCATCATAACAAACTTAGTTATTATAATTCTCATTTTATAGATGAAGAAACTGATACACTGAGAGGTTAAGTAATGTTCTACTGTCTAATCACTAACAGTGGGCAGAGCTGGTAATTGAACTCATGTGGTCTGGTTTCAGTCTGCTTAAACTACTCCAGTGATTTTCAAACTTAAAAGTGCATGAGAATAACTTGAAGAGCTTTTTAGAAAACAGATTTCTTGGCTCCACCCCCAGAAATTTGATTCAGTATGTCTGGAGAGGGGACCAAAACTTTATATTTCTAACAAGTTTCCAGGCAAGGGGATATGGATGGAAAAAACTTGAAAAAATTTCACAGAGGAGAGTTTTTGAGTTGTCTAAAAGTGAAAATGTAAATTGAAGTTAACAGTGGTACATGTTCTAGTGAACAGGGTATATGCAAAGTTGCAGAGATGAGAAAGGGCACATTGAATACTAGAAATTATTATGAATCAGGTTGATTACAGGTCTGGGTAGAGCAAATGGGTGGGAGGCTGAGAAAAAAGATTAACGTGAATATGTAAAAAATGTATTAAGGCAGGAAGGCTTTCTGTACTTTGGATTAGAAGTCAGTGAGAGGCTTTAAGCTAAATATAGAAACAATGGTGCTTTCTGGACAGTAACTCTCTCAAATGAACCGTTAACAGTGATAACCTAGAAGTTTTTTGGAGAACAGTTTAAAGCACAGGACCTTAGAGGCAAGGAGGCTAGTCCAGGCAGGAAAGGATATGGGAGTGATCTAAGAAAATGGCTATGGGGTTGAATTGAAAAAAGTAAATAAAATAAATGAGTAAATCACACCTGAATGGTGTTCTTTTAAGTGTTTATGAGTTTTTTGACTCACTACTTGGAAGAAACCTATGGATCAGGAACTATTATTTTCTCTCTTCTAAAGATGATGAATGAAAAAGAAAAACTAGCTATTTACCTAAGATCACACTGTTTGTCAGTGGTAGAGCCAGGCTTTGAACCTAGGTGTTCTGGTTTGTTTCTACCTTCATAACCATGCCTAGTGATAGACTGGATATGGAAACGAAGAGAGGAAAAAAGATATGCATAGGGTGCTACTGAAAATCAAGAAGATAAGGATTACACAATACAGCCACCAAATTTCTTATCACTTCCCTGACAAATGACTATAGCCCCTCTCTGTTTTTCACAGTGATAAGAATAAAATATAATTTAGTAAAAAATAGAGTAAAATAGAAGGGAGAGGAGGACTCCTTGTAGCATTTCTGCAGCCTGGTGGACTTGAGGTATCAACTTGTGGTCACAAGCTCTTCCCTAGTCAATGAAACAGTCAGATTAATGTGGTAGGATCCAGATTAAGGCATTTCCAAAACTGCAGCCTATTTATTAAAAAGACACGCTCTTCACAAAAACTAAGATGAAAGTAAAACTTTCTAGCCCTCGTCATTTTACATTTGGGGGAAAAAAAAAAGCCTCCATTTGCTAGACCTGGCTAAGCATCATTACAGAAGAGACACAAAAGAGCCCCCACCACCCAAAAAAGTACTTTAAACTTTCTTTTTGATACTCAGTTTACATGGCTTGAAAGTTCAGAGGGAATTTTTAGGACTATAATGGAAAATATAGCATATCCATTTATGAGTTTCATCAGATAAGAATACGCAGAAGGCAAGCTTGTGTAATATTTGATAACAAATGTGTGAAAATAATTTTGTGACTGTAATGATAGGAAAATTATTCAATAGCTTTGTGGGTTGTTTTTTTAATGGACAATGGTAAGATAGTCTTCAGTACAGTGACTAAAAAGAAAAATGATGCCGTTGTTGAAAATATCAAGCTTTTCAAAGCAATTTTCCCTTCTTCAACAGCTAAAAAGTGTTGGAAAATATTTTGAACTTTCACCATCTTGCATATACCCTGAAACCTTAAGTCCTTAGCAATTTGTAGAATTCCATAGATCAGAGAGAAAAGTGAGAATCAAAATAAAAATGAAAGTGCTTTAGAGAAATAAAATTATTTATAACACTTTATTGAATAAATAAAATCTGATCTCAATGATTGTATACATTTTGCATTTTTATAGATTGTATTACTTAAAATTAACCCTTGGAAATTGAAATATATTTGATAAGTAAATGAAACCTGCCTTATTTTCATGAGTATTATTACATTTTTTAGATAAGGTATGTAAAATAATAATCAGTATTATGAAGTATTATATTACAAGTTATACATGATTCATGTTAACACAGAAGAAATATTTCTTTTTAAATTCCAACAGCTTAAATTTAGAATTTCAAATATATAGAGAATTTGAAATTATGGCAAATATTCTGTAGAAACATAAGAAATTAGATAAAGGGGACTTTATGACATCTAAATTTTTTCACATATAATATCTACTTGAATGAACGAAGTTAATAATGAAGAATAAGGGAAAAAAATCAAACTCCAGGATTAAGCTCTGCTGACAGTGAATGTGTTATTAGATAATCAATTAAAACAGTTTCCTCTTCTATTCAAAACTTTTTTAAAATTTTAAAAAAACAGTTTCCCTATTTATTTCTCAACGGTACAAGATGTATCTCCACTCCGTATTTCCCCGCGGTGCAGAAAATAGTATAAGTCGCAAATTAGCCCTCTCAGTTTGAGGAATGCAGTGTTATAGTTACAGTGTTCCCGTAGCAAATGTGTTTCGCCGACTATTCTGTGGGACATCGAAATTGGATCTTTAGACTTAC